GGGTTTGGGGATTTCGGGTTTAGGCTTTAACCCTAAACCCTAAACGGCCCTAAGCCCTAATGAAGGATGAGAATAGTACTAGCTAGGTACTATTATATTATAGCGTTATTCTACTAATACTATAGTAGTATTATCGTACTAGAACAGGGTTTCCGAAAGGGGGCCAATGACGGGTTGTAGGCGAGCATGATTCCAAGCTCGACTGCCAGCGTCATGCAAGCAGCTCTCGAACCCAGCAGGTGTAGTATTGCCTATTCCGGTACTCTTGGATATGATCGTATTAGGGAGTTTCCAACAGTTTAGGTTGCCTTATTTTGGGGCCCTTATAATAAGGATCCTACTATTTGGGGTACATTATGTGAGGGTTCCCCATTTTTCGGAAACCCCCATACAACACCCTAGGCCCAAGGGAGCATCTGCTTAGGCATAGCTTGCATCCTGCACGGAAGTTGATTCTTGAAACAAAAAACACGGGCCCTGGGTAGCGAACACCCCAAACAGTAATGTAGGGACCTTAATAATTAGAATAGAGTTTTGGGGGTTCCATATTATAAGTATGTTATAATATACCCCAAGCCCTATTCTAATTATTAAGGCCCCTATACTAGCTTTGGGCTTGCTGTGCGGATGGCCGGGTTGTTGTTTGGGGTCCTTAAACCCTACAGCGTTGCCTCCGGGCTCTGGGTCCTTGTTGGATACAATCTTACATCTTTGTTATCATAAAGCTCTAATGAGGCTTAAGAATGACCATGATCATGTTTAACATATTTGGATTAAGAGTGATCATTCGTAATATACAAGGATTAAGAAATGAGCATTTTTTATATGGCCCCCAACACAGAAAAAAGAATCCCAGACTCATCTTCCTTCGACCTCGTCGGCTTCGCCGTCGGTGCGGCAGAGCGTCTGGGCCTCGGCCGTTCCCTTTCCTAGCGGGCTAAGGGGTTTTAGAAAGGTGGTGCCAAGGTCATTAACAGACGATGTACACTATGTACTATGGAATAGATGATATACACTATGTACTATGGAGTCTACGGCTCTCCATGGCCGAAAGGGTTTGTACTTTTACTTGGAGTAGATTTTTTTTGAGAGGGTAATCATTTAGGGTTTAGGAAGGTTAGCAACGGAGTTCTAGAGAGGCTCTAGTTACGTTTTGAGGCTTCGGGTTTGTGGGCGAGATTACATTTTTGGTGGTTTTGGTGCCCATGGCTTTCTAGATGCCTGGCGGAATCATGTGTAGCAAGATGTTCGTTGGCCTGTGTGTTTTGTTGGCCTGGTGTCGGGCTCAGAAAGGAATACATGCGAGTGTATACTTTGGGTTTTTGTTGGCCTGGTGCTCCTGAAGGACTATTTGGTGAGTGCATATTATGCTGGCTGTTATGAGGATATCCCTGTAATTATCGTGGGTAGTATTGTGTGGATTCTAGACATGAGCATCCTAGTTCATATCGGTTGTTTGTTTGTTCCACGGCTGATGGCTTTGGGGTTGCTTTTTTGAGCCATGCTCTGTCCGGACGGCATCCCAAAGAGTGAACCGATGTGCTTCATTGTAGACTCTGAGCTTTATGCTGTATAAGCCCTCAGTCCGCCAACTCCCAAACCCTGAACCCCCAAAGCCGAAAGAAGCAGAGACGTCGGCGGCTCAAAAAGGGGCACAAGTCTAAACCGCGAAGAGCGCCACAACTTTGGGACCAATTAAGCGGGCTCTGCCGAAGCCTGCTCTGGACGAGGTGGCAAGCTGCTACCACAGCGGGAGGCATTTGGTGCTTTAGTGACCTTGGTGGTTTGTAGGAAATGTGTTTTGGCTTTGGTGGCTGTTGGGATCCACTGATGATGATGGCGATGGTGGTTACTTGATCTCTTGTGTTTATGGTGAGCAGCATTGCGGTTAATTACTCTCATGTATGCCTGAATTCCAGCTGTTTGTGTTGTCTGCAGCGTCTTGCTTTCATCGGAATCGTGTAGCAGAATATTGCCACGTCGTCTGCTAGTCTTCCCACTGCTTGCGCGGATACAGAGATGAGGGGAAAGCCCAACACGCGGTCAGAGCAGCTTGCCCAAACCCTATCCCAAACCCGTTAACACTAATGCCCCTAAAGCCGAAAACCGGAAACCTAATACTCAAAGCAGCATCAGCAGCATTAGCAGCATGAGTAGTATGAGTAGTAGGAGTCACCTGCAGACGAAGCTGCAGAGTCGTGAATCATGCGAGGCCATGAAGGAGGGCGACGTGCTTATTGGTCCGACTGCCAAGAGTGTATGATTATGGTTAGGGTTGCATATTACAATTATCACTAAACTATTCGTGTGAGTACATGGTTACTTTTGCGGTCATTCATGACGTTTTTTTTGCTTGTTAGTGTGATGACTATCTTAGTCCCGCCTCGCAAGGTAGTTGTTAAGGGTTTGGTGGGGTGTATATGGGGCTCCCTATGCAATAGCGGTGAGTGTGCATGTGGGATACTTCCTGGGGGTAGACGGTATTAGTATTCTGGCCAATCGTTTCGAAGAGAACGGCATGAGCACGGTTCATGTGGCGGTAAAACGCCACCTTATCCATTGATGCACTCATCCAACATGTCTCGTGATGCAGTATTTAAGCCAAGCAGTTGCTGAGAGAATTTTGAGAGGTCAGATTCAGAGGTTGGGTGTAGGAACTTGAAGAGCAGCGCGAAGGCAGAACCCCCAAGTGCCAGAACCCTCGCAGTCCCTGATAAATGCCTGTGGGCGTCTTGTTGGATTGGATTGCGGCCTTGGTTCGGACATCGGTCTGGTTCTTTGGTGTTTCGATCTGGCTTTGGAAGGATTTCGGGTGGGGAGCGGTGTAGTGCAGGGGGAGTGTTGCCGACTTCAATGCCACATGTGCTGGGGTATCCGACCTCTTCAAAAGCTCATGTTCCACAGCAGCCAGATATCAACGTACGCCCCCCTAAGACCCGAAGCCCCAAAACGAAACCCCGATGAGAAGGCATGACGGCTGAGGCCTTTCGTCGTCTGGACTGCACAGCAATGGCTTCAGTTTGCTTCGCTCAGTACGGAGCCCATTGCTTCGAGGTTTTCACAGCTTCTTGTGTGTGGACGCAGTAAGCCACAATGTCATCGGTTAAAAAGTAAAAGCAGGATTCAGGATGTTGCCACATCTTCCTTTTCTATGAGTGGCCACTTGTCACGATGGTTGTTGTTGCCACAGAGGTTGACCAACGGTGTGTTCCAGATGTTCCCTTGTCAGTTCAACTCACAGTTTTCTTCCGTGCACGAACAGTTGGCACCGCCTCAAGACCGCTTTCGTTGCCGACTGAAGATGTCGTCGTCGCAAGAAGTTTCGACAAACTGGAGTCAGGACGAAGCCTCGTTTCCGAAAGCTGCAGCGCCATCCGAGAGTCACTGTGTTCATGGTCCATCCTAAGCCAACAGATTTATTAGGCCGAAGCCCGAAGGCTCGAAACCCAAACCCAAGCAGCCACCCCAGAGAGAAAACATCCTATCCTTTCAACCCTGCATGAGGTAGTCCAGGCTGCGGGGATCCGGCAGTGCACTCAGTTGGTGAGGGCTTGCCATGTTTTTCGCGAGGCGGTAGAACTCGAGAAGCCGCAATACCAGCAGTTGTGCAGGCAGTAGTGCCACTCGTGGTGCCAACGACGGACCACCGTTTACAGTCATCACCATCATCCACCCTAAACCCTAAACCCCAAACCCTGACCATCATCATTGCTGCCATGACTATCATCATTGTCAGTCATCTTCGGCGACCTGTCATCAACCACAGCAAAGCGTCGCAGCATCACCATGAATTGCCATCTGCACAGTCTTCTTCGTCGCTAGTCCTCAGTGCCTCGAACATCCTCGAACTCCATGGTACTAGTGATGAATTTTGAAGCTTGCAGGCGTCGACCCACCATACACGCTAGAGCTTGAACTCTGCGCCAGAAGCCCCAGAAAATCGCAAAGCTTAGTCGCTCCCGATATCTGACCTTTGCTGAGGTATCAGGCGGCGGCACCTTTCGACCCCACACGGTCCTTCGGAGAGGTGCCCTACGATAGAGTGCATTCTGAACAAACTCAGACATCAAGACTTGACGGACACTCGGAGTGTTGAGGTTGTGGGCTTTGGGGTTCAGCATGTAGGAGCTGGGCCTAGCTGGATTTTTTGGGAGGTTCTGGCATAAACCGGCTCCACGAGTGGTGGGGGAGGACCGGATGCGGGGCTCACTGATTGGGGAACACTGGAACTGGGACGAGCTCTGCCTTGGGAGAACGTGACGAAGGATGAGATGCCGGAAGCGAGATGCCGGACGTTTCGGATGTCCGTTGGCATTGACCTTTGCAGGAGAACGCCCAGCCCCCTGCTCGCGAATCCGTGATGTTGTTTTCGAGGTTTAGGGTTTAGGGTTTAGGGGTTTAGGGTTCAGCGTATTCTACATGTCGTGTTGCTTTTGTCTCTTCCTGAAGTCGTTGCCCCGCCTTGGCTTCTTTCGCTCAGCTTTTGTTCGCCCCTGCTCTCGTGGGGACTTGCGAGCCTTGGCATGTCATGTGCGCATAGGGCTTGTTCCATCAGGAACAGATATCCCATCATCCATGTCGTGACCTTCACTAGAGCCATCATCATTAGCATTGCGAGAGCAAGTATCGTCACCATCATCAGGACGAGCAACCTTATCAGTATCATGATGATCCACCGGAAACCCACCTATTCAAGAACGATCATCGGAATGGTTGTGTCCATGATGTGAACTGCCTGTACTAGGACCAGCTGAAGGAGTCACGGCTAACATCAGACGATAAGGCCTGATAGCTGGACACCACGATGAAGCCTCGTAGCCAGGTCCTTTTGGCGCCTACGCGGATCTACGTTAAGACGATCCTTGCTCTGGCCCCGCGCTCGGAATGTTCACCGACCCCGCAAGAAGGCCCCCAACCCCTGCACGGCTTCCGGGTTTGTGTTGCAGAGCACTGCGAGGTTTCACAAACGTCCCGCAGCGCTTTTAGGCGGAGATGGAGTTCATTTAATTTGTTCATCACAAATATCCGTCCCTGTCTAAGCAAGACAGCACAGACCAGAAGCGTCACAACCCGAGGTCCAAGGAACCAAGCTGGCGCCGGCAAAGCTTAAACCCTTCGACAACGAGGAAAAACACTTCAAGGTCAGGGTATTGGCACCTCCTCCATAATTGTCTTGTGAGCGACTTAGGTCGCACCCAGGAGTGTCTTAGGAGTGGGATAGAGGTGGCATGTAAGGACAAGCTTCGGGGATAAGCAAAGAAGGAGCATGTAAGGAAGGACGGGGCCTACCTCATCTGAGGGTATTCGTGAATTAGCGAGGCTGGAGACAGAACGGGTGCAGCAATGCATTGGCTGATGAAGCAGTGAAGGAACTCGGGAGAGACTTGATTCGGCGGTGGTCTTTTGGCACATTCCTTGAAGCACCGTTCGACGTCGCACGATGGTGAAATTTGATGTCGTTGGTGGCCCAGTGCCGCAAGCGAGCACAGTGTGTGTGTTGAGAGGTGCCGTGGCCGGCGTACCCAGGATCGTAGACCCAAATGTCCAAGGAAACATCAGCGCAACACATGCGTGAGGCGACATGGCCAGGGCCATCTCACATTCTATGTCATTACTACTACAATAATAATAATAATAATTATTATTGTTATTAATATTCGTACTATTTTTTTGTATTATTCTTCAATTACTATTCTTATAATTAGATTTTCCATGGTTGATGACAACTTTGATGATTCGCACGAGGCCCGTGTAGAGCTCCCAAAGAGAAACGAAGGCGAAGGAAGGTCTCCTTCGTGGCGCTGCACCGATCACCAGAGGAGGCGGCGAAGCGTCGTTCTTGGGAGAGTGGTTGCGGTTCAGTTTGTTTTGGCTAGTGGCTAGTGGTTTCCCCAATGGCTGATGACGAGGGTTTCTGCTGATGATTGCAACGATGATGGTGATGCTCATGATGACGATGGTGATGATGATGATGATGATGGCGATAAAGATGATGAAGATGATCTAGGGGATGATGACGGTTGCGATATGTTGCTGGCTGCTGTTGATAACGGTAATTCTTGCGAATCCTGGCAAGATGGGCAAGATCAAGCCTGAGCACCGTCATGCTGCCAGTGTCGTCCTCATCGTCATCATGATACTTGCAACAGTATCGCTGTTCTTCATCACAGTCGTCGTATCAGTCGTCGTGGTGGTGGTAGGGCTGGTGGTGGTGTTGGTGGTGGTGTTGGTGGTGGTGGTGGTGGTGGTGATTCTGGTGGTGGTGGTGGTGGTGGTGGTGATTCTGCTGGTGGTGGTGGTGGTCGTGGTGGCCGTGGTAATGGTGGTGGCAGTGCTGCACCTGCCACTGCTCTGTTTGACTAGTTCTGGCAATATTAAACTCGTACCATAACTGGTGCTACAACTAATCATTGCCCAGGATCGACCCTTCTGTAAATACTAGTACTGCTGTACTATTGGCAGTACTGCTGCTAGTGCGGCTAGTGCGACTACGACGACTAGCACGTCTAGTGTGATCCTTGTCCTACGACGACTGCAGCTACCACGGCTGGTATACCTTGGTTACGACTACGACTATAGGCTTACGCCAGCGTCTACGCCTGCGCCTGCGGCTGCGGCCGCTATAGCTGTGGCTATGACCGCGACTACGACGAGTACGACTTCGACTACGGCTACGACCACAACGACTATTGCGCTACTACGACGATTACGACTATTATGACTATTATTACTACGACTCCTATTGCTACGACTACTACGACGACGACCAACCAAGACTACCAAGAAATTGCCGTGTTTTCCCGCTTGTAGAGATGCCTGAGGTAGCGTCCCTAAACCCTAAACCCCCTACATAAACCCTAAACGCCTAAACCCCTAAACCCTTAAACCCTAAATCCTTAAACCCTACACCCCTAAACCCTTAAACCCCTAAACCCTTAAACCCTAGCCGTTCCGAATAGAAACCCTCGGTGGCCAGGCTTGTCCCGAAGCGTTCCGAGGATTTTGCCCAAGCACTTGAAGGCCAGGCTCTGAGAGGGCTTTAGGGGTTTTAGGGGCTTTAGGGGTTTTAGGGGTTAGGGTTTAGGGGTTTAGGGTTTTAGGGGTTTAGGGGCTTTAGGGTTTAGGGGTTTCGGGTTTTAGGGTTTTAGGCTTTTCGGGTTTTAGGGGTTTACGGGTTTAGGGGTTTCGGGTTTAGGGGTGCGTGGTGTCCTTGTGTCATCTTATTCTCATGACTTCTACTGCCGCGGATTTGCCATTCGTCCTGCTACCCACTCCCCAGTCTCCGTACCTGATCAGACCTCCGGGCAGTATTCCTACTCTCTTGCTGCTTGCAAGTTAGAATCGCTCCTGTCTGGAAAATCGGTTCTGACATCGCTGCTGTTACGACCATGAGGTTGAATATTGAAGCTAGGACCACTTTCAGTGGGATCGTGTGTCTGTCTGCCTCCTCACACCCCAAGCCCCAACAGCCCTGAACTCTAACCTAAACCCTAAACCCTAAAACCCTCGCACAAGCCAAACGAATCGCTGCTCTTTGCTTCCAGGCGCTGGTCAAGGCGGAGAACTGGGAGCTTCCTCCCCTCTTCCGCTGGATCGCCGCGAGGTGCCAAAAGGGCAGTGAGCTAATTTCCGATTTTGCAAATGCAGCAGGAAGATGGTTCAGGGTTGAGGGTTTAGGGTATATATCGGTCTAATGATGATGGCAACGGTCATGGCCTCGTTCTTTTTGGATTGAACTGTTTACGTCCAGCCCGAAGTCGAGATGCCGAAGCAGAGCTGATAACCTCAGCATCGGGTAAAACCGCGTTCCGGACTACAGTCTGCGGATTGGAGCGAGGTTTCAGAGCTGGCACAGGTGCAACATCCCCTGCGACGAACTCGCTGCGACCTTCAACTGTGGCATTGGCATGGTCCTGATCACTGCGCAAGAGCACAAAGACGAGGTCCGGGTTGAAGAGTGACATGGCTCTGGCCCGAAATCTTGAACTTCTCAGTGAGCTCGAGTCCTTTTCTCGAGTCTTTCTAGCCCTTTCCTTTGTCAGCCGGGACAGGTCATGACACGCCTGAAAGATATGGATGAGGAGGCCGGCCCCTGTCAGATCGAGCGCCCTTGGACCCATAGGCCCCAAGTACCAAAGCCGATTGGCCCGCGGGCAAGCAGTTGGTTGTTTGTTCTCAGGGGTCCCGTCTCCTGGGTCCTTGTACATTTTTGTTATAATTGAAAAAACCCTAATAAGGAGTATAAGTACTAATTTTAGTATGGCCCCAACAGGGAACCAGATTCCAGCATACAGTGTGGGTCGAGCACGCCCAGGCCCACATCATCGGGGAGCTCCTGCCCAGAAAAGATGGTCAGGGACAGATGCACATCGCCGGGGTCCCATCGCCGGGGGGGCAGAAGTTTCGGGTTTTGTGAGGTTCGTTTTTTTTGATTTTTCTTGGCTTTGAAGCTAAAGCCCTCGGCCTAGAAGACTCAAACCCTGAAGGCTTGAATTCCTGCAAGCTGTAGGATTCGGGTAGATGCAAGGCTATAACTCTGCCTAGTAGTTGTGCACTGGTGGAGGATGAGTGAGTGTAAGATGGCGTATGAGCCATGTCTTGGGCTGGAGAGCAGTCTGTGGTGTTAGTTCTCCACAGAAACATGAAAAGGACTTGAGTGAGTTCTGTGCATCTCGATGCAGCGTTGGCCCGAATCGCAGGAGGACTAGCCTTCTGTGCCACAAGGGCTGCAATCTATGGCCAGTCATGGATGAGCTACTGACCCTGCTCCATGGAGCGTATCATGCTGAGACTTGCCTCTTGGAGTTGCAGCCACACTTCAGCCACCTTCCCTCCGACTCTTCCGACATGGAGGGCCTTTTGAGACTCTTGCCTGGGCTCTGCTCACGAGCCCCAGCTGATGCTTTTCGGGGGTTATCTAGTCAGGCCGGGAGCAAAGAGGCAGAGGTTCTCCTTGCATCCCTGCCGTCGGAAGATCTGCAAAGACCTCGTCTCAGATGAGGCCGCCGCTTTTTGGCGTCTTCCTACATGCCAAGGCCGCAGCCCAGAGCAGCCACCTGGGCCTAGCGCTGCTGGGCTGCGCCTACTTGGATGGTCTCGGGGTCCAGGCAGATGCCCAGCGTGCCGTCGAGCTGTTGAGCCAGGCGGCAGAGCAGGGCAGTGCCGCTGAGCTACTGTTGCGAGAAGGGGCTGGGCTTGAGGCAAGATCACGGGCGCGCGAAGGAGCTGCTGCAAGAATCGGCTTCTCAAGGCTATGCCCATGCACTCTTCAAGCTCGGCTGTTGCTGCCAATATGGGATCCTAGGCACGGAGATTCAGCTCCAGGAGGCGCACCGGCTCTATGTCGAAGCCTCGAGACAAGGCCATCCTGCAGGCATGGCGCAGCTGGGGAGGACTGCACAAGAAAGAAATCCTTCCTAAGGGCGGTAGGTCTCCCTCTCCCTCTCCCTCTCCCTCTCCCTCTCCCTCTCTCTCTCTCTCTCTCTGTATGTGTGTCTTCCTGTCTGAAAGACTGAAAGGAATGAACGGAATGAAGGAAAT